GCAGCATGCCAGCAACCGGTCCGCACAAACAAGCAAAGCCCCGTCCATGGGATGCAGGCAGCACACAAAACCACGCACCCTCCAGTCCGTGGAAAAACCTCTCTCCATGCAACTGGTCCCTGGTGCCCAAAAGGTTGGGGGCCACCTGGCCTCTTTTTCTTCTCGTGCCATATCCGTTATCGGACGCTGGCGATCCTGTTTTTATCAGCAGCCGCACAAAAAAGGGCTGCTGAGTTTTGTCCAAAGCAGATTTTGAAGCCACGATGTTCTTCTTCTGCCTGGACCTCGTTTGCCTTCAATTTTTTCCCTGAGATTCTTAGCACCCCTCCCCCATTTAAGGGGCGCCCGTACTCGGGGCCACTGTTAAGTTTTGCCACCATTAAGGTGATTTTCCTGGGAAATATAGAGTGTAGTAGTCGTCCCTTTGCTTTCTACACCGCTGTGCACACGCTGTTCAAGTGGCTGCCACCACCCCGTGTGCTGTTCTTGTGAAGCCGGTCCAACCAATATGGTCTCTGCCTTTAGTTGATACTGGGGACCCAGCTGTCACTCACCAGGCCTGTTGGTCCACGGAGAAGGACCAACCCACCATTACAGCATAAAAGCCCTAATGGGGAGGGCCCCCCCAATCCGCCCCCTGGGGACGCGCTCTGTGGGGGTTCCAGGCTCCCCCTAAGACATCTTTGGCCTAGTTCAGGGGTAGGCAACCTTGGCTCTTTTATGACTCGTGGACTTCAACTCCCAGAATTCCTGAGCCAGCCATCCTGAGGGAAAAGGGAGAGGTTTCCAAGCTGAGCCATGCTGGCTCAGGAATTCTGGGAGTTGAAGTCCACCAGTCATAAAAGGGCCATGTTTGAAGACCCCTGCTCTAAATGGGCCTTATTGTAGACCTAATGGCTACACAGACTAGGCCAGGGGTAGGCAACCTCGGCTCTTTTATGACTCGTGGACTTCAATTCCCAGAATTCCTGAGCCAGCCATACTGAGGGAAAAGGGAGAGGTTTCCAAGCTGAGCCATGCTGGCTCGGGAATTCTGGGAGTTGAAGTCCACGAGTCACAAAAGAGCCAAGGTTGCCTACCCCTGGCCTAGGAGACGCCAACCTGAATCGCGCCTCCCATGCTGCAGATGGGAAGACTGAGGCTCAGAACAGGCTGCCTGGCTAATGAGCTCGTGACGGATCTGGATGAGGCACGCAGGCAGAGCTGGCACCCTTCCCTGTTTCTGGGAGACAAAGCCTGGCACGGAAACTTTGCCAGGCATGGGGTAGCGGGTGGCTGGTAGGAGGTGTGAAGCCGCCGAGGAGTGGGCCCCGTTTTCAAATCTGGCAGAAGGCAGCCGGAGCTGAATAACAAGCAAGCGGGGAGGAGAAACGGAATGAGCGAACACGGGCAGAAGCGGGTGGGGAAGCGGGCAAGGCAACTGGGAGGCCCAGGGTGGAAGAGCGGGCATGGCATCCTCCAGGACCCCCTGGCATGGATTGGTGAACCCAGAAAGCACGGGGGGGGGGACTTTTTCCAAGAGATCACACCCCTCCACCCCTCGGGCAAGCATCTCTGCCACCTTCCTCCTTCTCCTGCAGGGCCTGGGCAATTCAGGCCACCTGTGGGCGAGGGAGGCCACAGACCCTCCCCCTCGTGGAAGTGCCGCATGCAGGAGGGCTGGGGAGGGAGGGCACGAGCCTAGGGGTGCACGTGGCAAGGCAGACAGGCAGAGGCCGGGCACGTTTTCCCGCAGGGCACCTGCCAGACCCCGAGTGCCCTCTCTTCCTTCTAGATCTCACACACACACAGACACACACACACAGACACAGACACACAAACAAGGCAACAGAACCAGCCGTCCAGGATGGCCTGGCTGATGATGCAGCTATATTGACACCTCTTACCTGGCGCAACCTTCCTGCCCTTCAAAAGCTGCCCCGGGGGGGGGGCTCAGCCTGCCAGGAGGGTGGGTGGGCGGCAGAAGACCCCCCCCCGACCAGACTCCGGGAAACTCCTCCTCCTCCTCCCCTACCACTCAACCCCCCCCCTCACCGGCCCTTGGCTGCCCACCTGGCGGCCTCCTCCGCCGCAGCCCCCCCATGCCCGCTTCCCCCGCCAGTCCAGGTGTAGGAAGAATTGGGGGGGGCGGGATGGGGGGCTTCCAGCTCAAGGAGACGAGCCGGGACCCCCGCCCAGGCTTGCGAGGGCCCCCGGCCTGGCTGGCGGCCAGCAGCCTGGGGCGCGCACTCGCAGACAGGCGCAGAGGGAGGAGAGCTGCAGCCGGAGACCCCCATTTCCCAAGAAGGGAGCCCCCCCCCACCCCGGTCTCTTCCAGCGCAAAGGGAGAGTCCGGCAGGAGCCCCCCCTCCCCGCATGCCAGCCTGGCCCTCGCCCTGCGCGGCTCTCCAGGACCCGGGAGGGGAAGCGGGGAAGGGCCGGGAGCTGGAAAGCTAGGAGGGGGGGTCTCCTCCCTCTCCTGCCCCGGGAAGGGCCGGGGTCTCCGCGCGCCCCTCCCTCCTCGGACGGCCTGGGGGGCTCCGAGCCCGGGCAGAAGCGGTGGGGAGGGGGCTGAGGACCTACCGGAGCCGCCGCCGCCGCCGCCGTCTGCCCTCCGCGGCGCGCCAAGCCGGGCGAGGAGCCGCTCTCGCCCCGCGCAGTGCCCGCGCCGGCCCCTCCGCGCGTGCCCATTGGACGCCCGCCGCAGGAGGGGGAGGGGCCCCGGCGGGGGGGGGGGTAGGC